AATAGACTTTTTAAAGAGTAGATTTAGGCCCTAACCAGTTTGGCTCAGTGGATAGAGCATCGGCCTGCGGACTCAAGGGTCCCGGGTTTGATTCCGGTCAAGGGCATGTACCTTGGTTGCGGGCACATCCCCAGTATGGAGTGTGCAGGAGGCAGCTGATCGATGTTTCTCTCTCATCAATGTTTCCAACTCTCTATCCCTCTCCCTTTCTCTCTGTAAAAAATCAATAAAATATATTTTATTTAAAAAAAGAGTAGATTTAGGCCCCGACTGGGTGGCTCAGTTGGTTGAAGTGTCATCCCAGGCACCAAAAATGTTGCGGATTCAACTCCCGGTCAGGATTCCATCCCTCAGTTATAGAGTTTGGGCAAGCCCAGCATTTGCTCTGACTCTGGGAGGCAGTTATGGCGGAAACCGATGGCCATCCCCCTGACCTGCCTGTCCTCGATTCATGCATGTTTGACTATAAATCACTTAGAGGCTAAGTAGACGCCCTCCATTCCTGCCCAGGTCTTCCCACACAGTGGGGGCTTCGGGAAGATGGGTCACGTCGACATGGCGTCATGCACTGCCTGGCACCGTAGGGTTCCCATGGGCCTGGACCCGCGACCGGCCCGGGAGCACCAAGCTCCAGCCAGCTGCCTGCTGGGAGCATCAGGGATGTGTTTGTCATCCTGGACACCACAGATGTTGAGGGTGTTGATGGGGACTCAGAAGCTGAGCTCCAGACAGCGCTAAGATGTGGCTCCTGGGATATAACTTGTAACATGGAACCCTGCGAGCTGTGTGAGTACCATTCCTCAGTGGGAGGAGGAAATGGACAGCAAAAGACTGAAAGAGCAGCAGGAAGGTCTAGGCAGCAGATCTGACATGGGTTTGCAGTGAGCTGGGGAGGAGGGAGGCTCAGGTGTGGCCATGGCCGTGGCCTAGCGGGATGTCACACTGTCCTGCCACCCAGGAGGGTGGTGTGTGCAGGGCTGGCTGGGTCCTTCCCTGACCAGCGGGCACGTTCTAGAGACGGTGGCACGAGTGTGGTGTCTGTGGGAAACCTCTGAGGCTGGGGGCCTTGATGTGGGCACAGGTTGCGCTTTCCTCCCGGCAGAGCAACCAGCTGCCAGCACAATGGGAGGAAAACCTGTTTCCTTCACTTTCTTAGAGGGAAACTAAGGTTCTGAACAAACACAGGGCAAGAGAGCCCTCAGTTCTGTCTCCTAAAATCCACAGGTGACCGTGTCATCAGGAGGAGGTGGGACTCCTGCGTCTCGGGCCCGGCTTTGCCAGGAAGCAGCCACGTGACAGTGAGCTGCCCCACCTACCCAGCCTCAGTTCCTCATCTGTCAGTCCAAGGAGCTGCATGTTCGGGGCCTGACATGGCTGGTGCTGCTTCACTCCTGACGTTACGGGCCTGCAGCGCTTAAACACTTTTATTTTTTTTGTTAATCCTCACCCGAGGATGTTTTTCCATTGATTTTTTAGAGAGAGTGAAGAGAGAGGGAAAGACAGAGAGAAACACATCAGTTGGTTGCCTCCTGCAAGCTCCCCAACCAGGGCGCAGGCCAGAGAAGGTCCTGCAACCATGATACGTGCTCTTGACTGGAATCGAACCCAGGACCCTGTGGTCCACAGGCCAATGCTCTATCCACTGAGTCCAGCCGGTTAGGGCAAGCTTAAACACCGTTAGCAATGAATTGCTCACATTTAAAAACCTCACCTAAGAACCCAGCATTCCTGAGGCCAGTCTGCACATCTGTCCTCCAGGTCACCGGCGTCCCCACCACTGTGCCACCCTCGTTGCGTCTGTTCCTGCCAGGGCCCTGCAGCCACTGACTTTTTCACAACGTGTTCACGTGTCCCCACCGCTCTGTCTGAACGGTGACCTGTGCTCACGGTCTGGGGACCGGGCTGACGCTGAGCTGAATCAGGGCCTGAAAACCCAGCCATGCCACGAGGTCCTCCATGAGCACAGCCAGCGGGTGGTCAGGGTCTGGTGACACGCTGTCCACCAGCTTGGACGTAGGCACCAGGGGTCAGTGCTGCTGTGAGCCAGGTATCCCCAGAGCACAGGGTCGCCCCGATCGCCCTCTCTCTTGGATCCAGCTGCTCCCAAATAACGTCCACTTAAAATGGGCTGGTCACCCACAGGGTCCCAGGGAGCTGGGTGGGTGCCGACCCCCAACAGCCTCCTCTGACTCAGCCGGCCTGACTCCTGAAGGCCCCTGGGTGACCTGACCCTGATTTAGGGAACGTTGCAGCAGGGGTTGAGCCCACAGGGCGTGTTTCTCGCTCTGAGCCTCGCAGCTCAGGTGCTGGGGGCGTCCCTGGAACAGGGCAGGGGAGCGTTGGCCCTTTCTCTGGGATCTTGAGCTCATCTCCCTGCCCGTGTTCTTGCCTGGGGTGGATTCGATTAAACCAAATCCCGGCAGTGGAACCGGATGGAGACGGAGCCGCTGGAATGAACCACTGGTCACACTTCGCCTCAGCCCGGCTGCTTTCAGAGCCGCGTGCCGCAGGCTCCAAGGAGCCCGGTGACTTACGGGCTCTGAGGTCACACTCGGTGGAACCCACTAGTCAGCATTCTTGGAGTGTTTGGATGTTTCCAAAGACCAACCATGTGAGGACTCTGCTCTGTGATCTGAAAGGACACCTGGAAAGGGGGCCCTTGGGGGGAACGTGTGATTCCTGGCGTTCCCAGGACACCGGGTTTTGAGTTCTGAGAAGTGACGCCGGACTGCTCTCTCGAGGTCTCTGCAGCTGTGGGAATGCCCTTTGTGGGAGTTCACGCACGTCCGGGAGAGAAATCAGAAGGGAACCCAGGACCCTGGGGGAGACAAGAGGCGGTGCCGGGGCGCCTTGTGGTGACACTCCGTCACCCTGCGGTTTCTCGTGGCAGTTGGTTTGGATGGGGTGTCAGAGGGCTTTAGTCCCCAGCTCTCCGCTGGTGGGTAATTGCTGGACATGCAGCCGGGCGTTTCTGTCCTGTTAGGGACGAGGCCCCAGGCTCCAAGGCCACCCCAGCAGCTTCCGGGAAGACCGTGGCTGTGGAAGAACATGAGGGTGACAGTGGTGGGCAGAGGGTCAGCCCTGGGGACCAAGCCCGCACTCTCTCCTGCACTCCTGGTTGAGAAAAAGTTGGCTAATGGAACAGTCTGGAGGCAGTAGATTGTCGGGTTATGGGGTGTGTGCTTAGAAAAAGGAATTTACTCAGAAACACGGGCCTTAGGCATGGAGCAGGGAGCAGTTCCTACCCAGTCCCCATTGCCTCGGGGAGCGTTTCGCCATCACCTCGTTCACCTGAGGCACTAGGGCTGTAGTGGATGACGGGGTGCTGGGTGTGGGGTGGGCACAGTCATCAGGGCACGACCCTGGCTCCAAACTTGCCGCAGGCACACGGGCCTCCTCCACCCCAGCACCTAAGGTCCTCCTGGCTACAGATGACTGGAGTGCGGTTCACCAGGAATGCCCCAAACACTGCCTGACCGAGGGCCGGCTCCGGGCGGCTTTCGTCATCCGGCTCCCGTAAATCGTGATGCTGACACCACGAAGCAGAGTGGTGGTTTGTCAAAGCAAATACACGCGAACAGGACCCAGCCTGGCACACCGCCCAGGCTCAGCCCAGGGTCCCCGGGATGCCCGCCCGCCCGAGTGCACAGAGGCCAGACAGCTTGTCAGACTGCGGGCTGCTCACCGGCCAGCCTCTCTGTGGTGCGGAGCCCCCGGGGCCAGGGGAGGGATCACGTCTGCAAGGGCACAGGGGGGACTCAGCGAGGCAGTTGGGTTCGCTCGGAATGGCCATGCCGCCTCCTGACTCTCCTCTTCCTTTTTAAATTAATAGATTTAATTTTTTCAGAGTAGTTTTCCCTTTACAGATAATTTGACGGGAAAGCACAGATTCCCACATTCCCCTTCCCTGCCTCTCCAGTTCCCCCAGTTGCTTATGCCTTCACTGGTGTGCTGCGCTTGTTACAATTGTTGAGCTGATATTGATACATTGTTATTAACCGAAGTCCATAGTTTACATCGGAATTTACTTTTTGGGGTCTATATACGCTGGGTTTTGACAAATATATAATGAGACGTGTGACCCATTAATAATCATACAGAACAACTTCACCGCCCGAAGGTCCCCTGAGCACCACCTGTTTATCCCTTCCCCAGCCCGGGCAGCCGCTGAGCTCTTTGCTTTTTACTGTCTCCACCGTTGTGTCTTCTCCAGAATGTCATAGAGTTGGAATCACACGTATGTAGCTGGCCTGGTTCTTTGTACATGACACATGTATGAAATTCTGGAGCCAAGCGGGATGCAGCATCGCTCAGGCTCCTTCATCGCTTCTCTTTTCTTCCTTGCTCTTGAATCTGTACAAATCAGATCTTTTTTTCAGGCAGGACTAGGGTATGGAATGATTTTCTTCTCAGGATTCAAGGACGGTCAGGCTAGAGAGGCCTCAGTCTCCTAAGACAGATGAGAAAAGAATGAGAGGCCGCAACTTCCCTAGGGCCAGCAGCTTCTCCAGGGTCAGCAGTTTCTCCAGGGCCTGCAGCTTCTCCAGGGTTGGCAGCTTCTCCAGGGCCTACAGCTTCTCCAGGGCCTGAAGCTTCTCCAGGGCCTGAAGCTTCTCCAGGGCCTACAACTTCTCCAGGGCCTACAGCTTCTCCAGGGTTGGCAGCTTCTCCAGGGCCAGCAGCTTCTCCAGAGCCTGCAGCTTCTCCAGTGCCAGCAGTTTCTCCAGGGCCTACAGCTTCTCCAGGGCCTACAGCTTTTCCAGAGCCTGCAGCTTCTCCAGGGTCTACAGCTTCTCCAGGGCCTATAGCTTCTCCAGGGCCTGCAGCTTCTCCAGGGTCTACAACTTCTCCAGGGCCTGTAACTTCTCTAGAGCCTGCAGCTTCTCCAGGGCCTGAAGCTTCTCCAGGGCCTACAGCTTCTCCAGGGCTGGCAGCTTCTCCAGGGCCTACAACTTCTCCAGGGTCTACAACTTCTCCAGGGCCTACAGCTTCTCCAGGGTCTACAACTTCTCCAGGGCCAGCAGCTTCTCCAGGGCCTGCAGCTTCTCCAGGGCCTGAAGCTTCTCCAGGGCCAGCAGCTTCTCCAGGGCTGGCAGCTTCTCCAGATGGATGGAAATCCGAAGCCTTAGTCATCCAAGGCTGTGGTCAGGTTCCCCCCCACCCCCACCCCCACCACCTGTGACCTTATACTCGAGCACTGGAGGGCCCTGTTAGGACACCTGCTGTGCCCATGTCCGTTGGTCATCTATCTTGTTCCTTATCAGTTGTCCTCTGACCACATGTGTTCACAGTTGGCTGATTCTCTACCCATCTCACAGACCAGCACACAGAGGCGTGGTGATGTGCCTGAGGTCACACGGCTAGGCAGACTTTTCAGCTGTGAAATCTAAAAGGTCCTGGGGTCCGGGATGCCCCTAGATCACAAGTGACCACAGTGCAATGCTGGGACCCAGGCTTTGCTGAAGCCCCTGCAGAGCACACAGTGGTGTCCTGGCATGCAGTGGGGTCTTCTGAGCCCCAGGGACTGAGCAGCATGGGCCAGGGCTCGTATCTGCCACCCCCCAGCAGGCACACTGTGGAGCAGGGTGGCTCCCAAGACACGCCAGGCTCCTGCCTCAGCTGGCAGCAGGTTACTGAAGGTCTGCACTCATTCCCATGTGAGGGTTTCCCTACAAGGATCCCCCAGGTCAGGGATTCCTCCACTGAGTTCTGTCTTCTGCAATGAGGAATCTCCTACCCCGCCCCCCAATACCTGCGAGGGGTTCCTGCTGCCCAGTGCCCACATGTGGAATTCCCCAAGTAAAACCCTGGGAGGAGCCACTGCCATGTGGATGCTTGGAGTCCTGGTGCCTGACGTTTTGACCTTGTGCAGTTGTGTGACCTTGACAAGTGATTTAAGGCCTGGGAGGGGGTGAGGGAGATCCTTCTTGTTCAGTCAGGGAGAGGGTAAGTGGCTGGCTTGTGTCCAGGGCACAGTGATGTGCTCCGGAGCTGGTCCCTGTGACCTGGGTGAGCCCAGATGCCCGTCGGGCTGAGTGAAGCGTCCTTGTGCCCACACCCTGGACAGCATCCACCCCAGGCCACGATCTGATGCCTCCTCCCGCTGGCTGAGAGGCCCCGGGAATGGACCGTGGAGGACAGGATCCACAGGGAAATGCCATGAGTACCCGTGTCTGGTGGCAGAGCTGCTGTGGCTCGGACCTCCGAGAGCCTGGGAGGTTTGGCTCTTCTTCCCTGGGCGCTCAGAGAGCTGGGAGCACGGGCACCTCTCACACTGCCACTCTGTCCTGGGCTGAGCGGCCACGCTCAGGTCTGGCCCTGTAGGTTGTGTGCCCCTCAAAGGGAGACTCGGCAGGCAGGCCCCTGGCTGTGTCCCCTCCTGCATGGAGCAGTTTGGCTTCCCGGTAAAAGGGCATTGCCACCACCCCACCCCGGGGACTCTCAACACCGTGGGCTGTCCTGGGTGGCCCCACGGTTCCACCTTACAGAGGGTTATGGAAGGTGGCGGTGGGGTTGGGGGTCTCCTGGATGGCGAGGCCACAGGCTCCGCCCACCTCAGGGCAAGGCCAGGTGCAGACCCTGCCCCAAAGCCGGCCAGCCCTGGCAGGCCCACCCCAGGAAAGGGCCGACACTGCCCCTGCTCTCTCCACCCATTTCAGAGTGTTCCCCACGGGGCCTGGTCCCTGGGAGGGGCCTCGGGTCCTGAGAGCCAGTGGGTGACCTGAAGTCCTAGTGACTGAAAGTGACTTGGAGGGCATGAATGGTCTGTGTTTGAAAGAGACAAGGAGGCCAGGGTTCTTCGTTCGGCTTTGCACGATTTCTGTTTAGGGCCCTGGGACAGAGTCCATGACCCTCCCAGGACACCCATGTCTCTGGTGTAGAACGTGCCTGAGAAAGGTGTGTGTCATGGCAGCAGGGAAGTGTCATGTCCGTTCTCTCTGGTTTATGCCATCCCCCTGTCTGTCTCCAGCCCCCGGGAGCCCCTTTCCTTCCAGCCATGGCCCAGGTCCCCAACAGGGGATGCCCCACGTAGGGCCTAGTCTACACTCAGGTTCCAGGAGGGGAGGGGGGCAAAGGGGCAGCCTGTCCAGAGGGCTGCTGGGTTACGTGGGGCAGCAGTGTGTTTGCCAGGTTGGGGTGCACGTGGTGTTGTAAATGTTTCCCTCCACATCCTGCGTGGTTCAGGGTTCAGGATCTGGAAGAGGTGCCTCAGACAAATGAAAGAGAAGAGACAAGAGATAATTTGGAAATATGGGGGTGCTGGGGTCCAGGCCCAGCGGGCCAGGGGTTCCCAAAGGAGTGGACGGAGTCGGCGAAGAATGATTTACACAGAGACAGCGTTCATAGGTCTCTAGCTCTCTTTAGTCTCCGTGGAGCTTCCTGTGCCTGGCTGAGGCCACAGAGAAAGATCCACGAGGCAAGCTGAGCCTTTATTTTATAGTCAGAGGTAAACAAGGTAGTGGTTACCATAGTTACACAGTTCTTGTGAGTTTCACTTGTTTTGGCCACTTCCTGCACTTCCCTCAGCCCATTAGCTTCCCAGATAAGATCTGGGGAGTGTCATAAGGTCAAGCCTAATTATGCTAAGAGGACTGTGCCCTCTAAGCTGGGACTTGTTTGTGACTTTGCCAACAGGTCAGTCCGAGCTCCCCACACGTGGTTAGAGCTGCAGACCTCAGGGGCACCGGAAGCACCCACCCGGTGGTTTATGAGGGACTTTCTTTAATGCCAGGATCCTGCTGTTGCCATCACAGGGACCCTTGCTTTGGCACTCACAGCACAGGGGCTCAGAGTCAGCCACGGACCCCAAATCCCACAAGGAGCCCCCACAGCTCCCCTCTGATCGGTAGAGGATGCACAGAGCTGGGCAAGGCCCAACAGCAGCCCAGACCTCACACCGAGGGGGGCCAGGTCCACCCTGGCCTGGGGGTGGCAGAGCCCGTGCTCTGGGACAAGGCTCCTGAAATAACTGAGCTCCCACGGAGGGGGCACTGGCTCCATGGCTTCCGGGCCCTTCCCTCTTCTGCAATCAGGGCTGCCACTCAGGGCTGGGGGGTGGGGGGCTCCAGGCCATCACCCTCAGACCAGCAACATCTGCGGCTGTGGTGCTGGGAGCCCTTGAGATTAATCACCTGCCTTTTCCCATTCGAATCTGCCTTGATTACAGACACGTTCCTTCTCCAGGGAGTGGAGGTGATTTTTAAGTGGAAAGGGAAGCTCGCTTGGTAAATTGCTGAAGCTGGTGGGCGCCATGTGGGTATTTAG